ATTATGAAAAAAATTGCATAAAAGAAAAAAGAATCAATTCATAAAAAAAAATGGATTGTAGGAGAACTAAACAATAATTGAAACTCAATTCAAATAAAAACAGAAAAATCAGTTCATTAAGATTTTGGGGACAATAGGATTATGTAAAAATAAAATAATATTTGAAAATGTGACAATATATGATTAAAAACCAAATAATATGAAAATAGGATAATCAAGTTAAAAAAATTGGACGTATCTGGATCTTGCAACTTTAGTTCTTTGACCTTGCTAGTAGGTGGCCGCCAACCTTTAGATTGAGATTAGTTTGCGAGTGTAAGAGTTACTGAATCTAAATCAGACGGTACTTTAAAACTATAGACGAATCCAAATAAACAACAATAATACTCTGTTTTTGTTCGACTTGGGGACTACCATTTTGATGTTCCCCAATTGTGATATTTGGTTTAAATTCACAACTTTTTCATTCAAAATTTCTACCAATAATCTCCGCAGGAGCAGCTACCATTTCTAAAATGATGAAACCTCTTGTTATCTCGTACAATGATCTCTCTATCTTCAATACTCGACAGTATCTTTACGAAGTTGTGGCAGTCTCCACATATCCTCAAATTCTTCATCACCGTTATCGTCGTCCCAGGAGGCGTGTTTATAAGCCCGAAAGCAATAGCTAACCGTTCACTGTGATGCATCAATGCTCTCTCTTTAGCTTCTTCATCGATATCATGAAGAACATACTTTGTCTCTGCAACATAACCTGCCTCTCTCACTTCTTTTCCTAAAGATTTCAGCTTTACTAAGGCCTTGCTTCTATCTATAAGACCTTTCTTTGGTCCCATAATCTTCTGGCCAGAAAGTGAGATATTTGGTAAAGTAGCATCTTTCCGTAGCGTGTCTCTACCTACAGAACCTGAATCTCCGGCTTTGGTCTCACTTCCTTTATCTTTGTAAAACTGTTTGAGGTCAGAGCTTATCCTCCTCTCAGTTTCGACAAAGCTTTGAACTTCACCCTCACCCGCAGTTCCATTTGCTCTCAAGGTGATTCGTTGAAAGGATAAGGTTTCTCTCTCAAAGGGGATTGCTTTAGTGACAGGGAAGGAGCAGAAACTCATGGAGAAAGCAGCCTCCAGAGCCATCCCTTGTAGACTGTAGTCAATCCCAGAAGCGGATAAGTTTTCTTTGGAGGGAAATTTACAGTGTGGAGAGAGAAATAGAGAAGCAGACACATCTCTCACACAAAATATCTACAAGAAACAGACAATGTCACAAGCAGACAACAAAACCTCTGTTTTCCTTTTAGCATAAGGGGTGGTCCAGTTCGTAAATAGGGTCCGATCCACAAAAATGTTCCCTGCAAAACCAATTAGCTGATGAAGCTTAAGGCCAACTGATTGTCTGCAGAAAAGTAGACAAAACAAACACCTTTTATGTAGAGAAAATCATAATGTTGAAGACAGGGAGCAACGACTTTAGTGCCGCAGAATAGTGCAAATTGCTGATCGAATAACACATATAGAGGACCATTGACACTTTCCTTTAGCACTCCAGTCATTCGAGGGGATCAGCATTCAGAAAATACGAATTCAGAACTGTTTGTTTTTCGATTTGAAGCTGGAAAACTTCAGAGAATTCCTTGAGTAATGACTCATGAGCTAAATCTATCAACTGCAAATCTTCGAGTTTATTACAACACATGCCCCCCTTTACCTGTCCTCCGTCCTCAATCAAACCCTTTATGCTTCCAACCCAGCGGTTTCTTATCCCACATGGAACTATCCAATTGAAGGGTGTTAAATCCGTTGTGACATTCAGAGCTAGACCGTGATATGTCATCCATTTCGACACACGGATACCTATCGCCGCCACTTTTTGGTTTCCTACATATACAATTTTGCAGACAAAAAGGGATTAAACAGA